AAATAAAAAATATTCACAGAATATTATTAAGCACCAAGATCCATTTTGACCGTAGATGACCTTCTTCACTTATTGTGTTTGAATAATATAATAATATATTTCATCAATTTCGTTTGATGACAAATAATTTATTATACATTATATATATACATATATAATACGTTGTATGTAATATATGTATATATATAAATACATATATAAACTTACATTACATACAACATAATCGAAGTAATAATTAAAATAATCCAATTTTAGAAAAAAGTTACTTAAGTGCTAAAGTAAAACTATCTATTTACGTTTAACATGTTCTGAGAAGCTGGTAAAACTGGTAAAACACACTTGAGTTTACTCCTGATATATCCTCATCATCTCTTACATTCTCCAGTAGACGTTTGTTGAAATTGGAGTTACTGGAACTTAATTCGCTGGGATCGAGAGCATGTAACGTGTTCTCCGAAATGTTACTTTTAGAACTGCAAAATACATATATTAATTCAATATATTATAAGTATTTAAAAATAATTATCTATTTTATATGTATTGTAAACTGTTGATATTGAAATTGTAGAATAGTTAGTTTACGGCCTTGAAATTGTCGAATCATTCAAAAATTCCATTTGGTCATAGTATCGAAAGCCATCTTTCTTTTTCTCGGTTACTGGTGCTTCTGCACCACTGGGTATGTACTCGGTAACCTTATTCCTAGCTTTCTTGTAAGAGTCACGAAGGTTTCTCCAACGCTTTTTTATTACCTCCACTTCGAACTTATCTAAAAATTTAAAAATAAATGTTCTATAAAACGTTTTTCTTACAAAAAGGGATTTCAGTAGTACTTCTGCATTTTAAATACTAAAATAACCAGATTGAGTAGTAACTATAGTTATAACGTTAAAAGTTAAAAAAAAGTTTGAAGTCAATAACTTTTAACTTAGTTAATTTTAAATATATTAATTTTTAACTTAATTTAGTTACTTTTAAACAATAATGGCTCTGGCACATCAGCGCGATGTACGACACGATATGGCTTCTGCCCACTGGACGCGATGGGAGATGAGAGACGAGCGATATCCAATGAGAGCTTTGCTTTGCATCGTTGCGTGAGAAAAAGCAGAGCTTTCATTGGATATCACTCGTCGCTCATCACCCATCGCATCTAAGCCGGAATCCATAGTCCGTTCTTAAGCTCAAGCAATGTCTTAAGATGCTAATACGGCTCTCTGATTGGTTCATTCACTGTCTTAAGACATTACTTGAGCTTAAGAACGGACTATGGATTCCGGCCCTAGTGTGCAGAAGCCAATACGCGATATGCGACGCGCAATATCCAATAAACGTAGTTTTTCTGGAAAAGCAGTACGTTGATTGGATACCGCGCGTCGCATGTCACGTATCGCGTTGCACATCGCGCTGGTGTGCCGGAGCCATAATATCGTCTATTATAGAATATTACCATCTATTTCCTTCTTAACTTCAAGCCATGCTTCTTTAATAGTTAATGTGCTTCTCTTTTTCACCGGGATAATGTGATTCCACAGACAAGGCCTTTTCATAACAGCATTTATTAGCAATTCATCGTAGTCAGCCCAAGCTCTATCCTCCTTGTTTCGGGTCTTTTTTCCAATAGATGAGCAAGATTGTTCATCATTCTTACTATCGTTGTTGCTAGCTTCCTTTGACTCTTGAGCTGTATCTACTGCACCTGCAATAACTTACTTTTACGAGAAATTGTCCAATAACTATAGATTATATCTAATGAAATAATTAAGTGAACTCCAGATTTAACACACGTATATTTAGGACGTGTTCGGAAAGTACACTACCAACGCTGTTGCATCATTCTATCCTTATTGTTTATTAGACGTAAAACAAGGATAGAACAATGCAACAGCGTTGGTAGCATGTTCCCCAAACACACCCTTAAATACACCAAGATTGAACTAATACCTCTAAATAAACAATTAAAATTGTTAACGAAAATGTCTTCTTTTGAAACATCTATATCTGCGAAGCATGAATGATCTAAATAATTATAGTCCTTCTTTGGTAGCATAAAGCCGCAATATGTGCATTTATAATACTTCAACAGAAAAACATAAATAACATTACTGCATATATGAGTCTACAAACTACAGTGTAATAAAGCCTTAATACACAAAATGCATAGCATAGCGTAAGCATAACATAAAATCTCTAAACCAATAAGCACCCGACATAAAGTTATATAGTTACATATTGATTTACATAAGATGCTCATTAGTCCAACGGTCTTATACTATTGTTCATGCTATATTATGCATTTTGTGTATTATAGCCTTAACGCTCGTAATATTAAAAAACAAAATTCCGTTAATGTCAAGGCCTCTGATAAACAATATACATAGATGCTAAATAATGTAAATTCAATTTATTATCATCTCATACAATTAAATTAAAAATGTTTAATTAGTTTTCCTCAGTTTAGAATAACAACAATCATTACCTAAATGTAATTAATATCGATAACAACATAAATTAAAATTCAATCTCAATGACCTATTGTTTATTGATATATGCATCACACGTTACATACATTGACCATAATTCTATACAAAAGTTGTATTTTATAAGAAGGCTGATCCAATCATTGTCAATTTTATACTTGCAATTGTACAAAAAATTCATCCTCCCTTTGTCACTTATCATCACTATCATCATTATAAAAAATTACATAACTAATTCTACATTTAAATAATAATCGTTATTCTAAACTGAGAAAGATTAAGTAAGTCGAAACATTTTTCATTTAATTGTATGGCAAGATAATAAATTGAATTTACATTCCCTAATAGCAAAATGTTAGCAATTTGCGCGCAAATTGGCAGCAAACTCGATCAGATTTTGACTACAAAACCGTAGCTATCTGTGTCCGCATTTGGCTATGGATTTGTCGACAAAGCTGACAGTCTCTGCCAGCAGATTGGTGGCAGAAACCGAGCAGAGTCTGCTCAAATCAGGTTCTGCTGTCAATCTGCTCTCAATCTGTTGTCAGTTTATACAGGACTTTGTTCGGTTTCTGCCGCCAATCTGCTGACATAGCATGTCTAGCAGACTTTGTCATATTTCTGACAGCAATTTGTTGACAATATCTGATAATACAAAGTCTGTATACAATTTGTTGCCTTTCTGCAATCAAGAATTGATATCAGGCTCTGCTCAAAATCTGCCAACGCAAGCTTTGCTATCAGGGTTATGTAAGGCCTATTATTGCTCGTCAGAGGCCTTGATATTAACGGAACTTAAGTCTACATATATTAAAATAGTTTTCAAGTAATATTCAATGTTTTATACTTACATTAAAATTTGCTTCATTCGTTTCAACATTATACGATTCCATCGTATCAATTAGTATCAAATTATTTTAACCTCTCAAAATACAACGATTTATTATAAGAACACTACGCACGTTTAAAACATACGCACTCTCTAATCCGGATTATTTCAGAACATCTAAAGGCAAAATGCGGAATAGAGGTGATTGGTTGCTTCAATGACGCATTTTGTATTCCGCAGCCCTATGACGCATCGTGTGATTTCACCCTTAGGTTTGTTCGCGTCGCACGCTCCAATCTGCTCCTGTTCATTCCAACGCGCTCCAATACGTTCGCGTCACCGGAACCAATATGGCGACTAGATGTTCGCGTCGCGTTAGGGTGGAGTCCCATGAGGTGTATTTATCGCGTATCGCATAACCGCGTAACCAATCAGAAGCGATCTGCTGTTATAGTTTCGCGTTTTACTGATTATTGATTGGTTATGCGCTTACGCGATACGCG